TTCAAACCATGATCATACCCTACACCTTATAAATAGGGAGGTAGCAATGAGTTTCCTGTCCTTGATTTCCATCTGGAAAGTCAAAGACTACAATTTTTGTAACATTAAAAAAAAAAGGTAAGAAAAGTAGAAAAACATCTATAGGATGAGAAAGTCCTCTACTCAAACCTTTAGGATATAAAAATATTTCAAGAATATTAGTATACTTTGGACAGGACAAAAGATAAACAAAAATAGTAACTTGTAGAAATCACAGGAAGTCCAAGGCTCAATATATATAAAAAAAAATTCTTTTTGGTTCAAATTTGAGCTATCCCCAAATGTGAGTGAATACACTCTATATCACTTGTAGAGGGACTTACATTGGACTGGAGTAGATTTTTGGAGTTCATTCTTATTCAAAGGTCTCTGTTTCAAAGAGTAAAACAGTTGTGTAAGATGAGAAATGTTATCAATTCTGCTAAGGCACAAATTTTGTATTATTGACTCCCATTCTAACTACTTTGGTCTGTGTGATCCCTGGATGCTTTGATAACAGACATAGTCATATAATCTGAATATTATTACTTAGGACTGCAGGTTCCCACATAATTCAGTTAAAACAAAACTTTAATCATACCCCCCTAATACAGTCTAAGTTTCTTTTCTTTTTCTCTTTTTTTGGTTAGGCAATGGGATTAAGTGACTAGCCCAGGGTCACACAGCTAGTGAGTGTTATGTGCCTGAGGCTGGATTTGAACTCAGGTCCTCCTGAATCCAGGGCCTGTGTTCTATCCACTGCTAATTTTATTTTCTAATTTTCATTTAGTGTCCCGATTAGAAAAATAACAGAAACAGGAAGAGCATATTTTTAAGGCTTTCTTCTATCATATAGCAAATCCACTAGCTTCTCACATAACTCTCACTCTAAAATGTTCTATGGTCTTCACCTCTCTTCTCTGCACATACTCACTCCTCTAATATTTCTCCTTTAACAGAACCAATGAATAACTGCCACTTATCAGAAAACATCCTTTCTCAGATATGTGCTTTATATATTGCTTTTTTCTGAACAGACACTTCTTCAACCTGCTCAAGTCTTTAAGCTACAGCAATTTTTCTTATTTCTATTATATCGCATTTCTCTTGTGGAACATTACAAAGGCCAATTTAATATACTCCTCTGTTTTCCAACTACACAAAGGAAATGTAACTATCTTAGTCCACATTTTAACATCATTTTCTCTACCTTTTTCACAATTTCCTGTTATTTCCGTAATTCCAAATGTTGGAGTTTAATCTGTCAGGATGAATCTACAATACTGTGTTTTATAGCGTAACAAATAATGAACACTTCTATTTTCCTTTTAATAAAATGTTCTTATGATAATGAAATATCTTGTTAATTATTTGGAGGTCACGTGTATAGTCCTCTCTTTCATTAAACTTTGGCCCAAATTTTATTTATGTTGGGTTTTTTTCCCCCCAAGGCTCTCTATCTATAACTCTGCAAGTCCTTTCTTCACTCTTTTCTTACCCAATACAACAAACCCGAAACTAAGAACTGTGTTGTAGAGACCTCGAATAACCATTATTATTTTTTTTTAAAAACAAGACAAAAACCACAAAAACGCTTAAGATGAAGAACACTAGCTATAATTTTCATCCTGGAGACTGTTTAATAAACTGTGAATGTAACAGTTTATTAGAAGTTCAACAGAAATAAATTTAATAGTTTTAATCTCTAAATTATTTCAAATCAAGCCAATTTATAGCAATTTCAGTTATAGGTTCAAATAATTAGCATTCACAACATACTAAAATGTTTCAGGCTTGCTAAAGAACAGAATACAGTTGAAGGGTACCCTAAAAGATCATCCAGTGTATCAAGTAAGTAGAACCAAAAGAACAATTTATAGGTTGACCACAAAAATGAAGTGAAAATGCAATCAAAAGACTTCAGAGCTCTGATCAATACAGTGTCCAATTCTACCATCAATCAACACACAAGAATTTATTAAGTGCCTACCCACTATGTACCTAACACCATACCAGGTAATTGGGATACAATGGGGAAACCAAACAGTCCCTAGAGTCTCCGGCCTAGAAAGGAGCTTACTTTTTAATGAGGAAAACAACACACACACACACACACACACACACACACACACACACACACACACTCTCACTCTCTTACAAAGAATATATGAAATAAATACAAGGCAATTTCCAGGGGGAGGTACTAATTTTGGGGAAGATCAGGAAAGACTCCATGTAGGAAGTTACCTTGTAAGCTGTGCTTTAAAACTAGGGCTTGTAAAAGGCAAGGACGAGGAGGAGCGCCTTGGAGGAAATGAAGAAAGGCAGGGAGGACACTGAGGTGAGAGATGGAATGTTGGGGAAGCACATGGCCCGCCCCGTGGAAGGGATGGGATGTGCCCTCGGGTGGAGAAGGAGGCACACATTTACAGGCAGAGTCAACGTGTTGATCTGTTTCACTTGCTTGTGCTTATTTGTTACAAGGAAAGGTTCTGTGGTTAGGAAAGGGGAGGTCACTGCAAAGGAAGAGAAGTGTAAAAAAGGAAACGAATAAAGAACATTTTAAAAAGAGATTTGCACCCTTTCATTTTACACAGAGAAGGAAACTGAAGTCCTTAGGAAAGTTGAGTGATTTGCCTAATACGTCACATACACCAAGGATCTGAACACGAGTCTTTTGACTTCAAATCCAGTACTTTTTACATTCTACCCCATACTGCTTCCTAAAGAACAGACATCTTTAGTAGGGGCTAAGGTGCTTTACAGACATTATCTCATATGATCATCACAACAACCCTGAGGGGGGGGCGTGTTGTTTTCCCCATTTTACAGATTAGGAAATAGAGGTAGAGAGAAGTGAAGTGACTTGTGGAGGGTCAGGAGGCTAGTAAATTCTGAGGCTACATCTGCACCCTAAGCCCAGTTCTCTATCCACTGCCCCACTTAGCTGCCTTATTAACATAATGACACTTAAACGTGGCCTGAAGTGAATTACTTTGGAAGCCCGTTAACAGAATTTAATTCATTTCAAAATCTGTCAAGCTCCCAAACGTCTGCTAGGCACTGGAGACATTGAGGGAAAATATTTCCCTAAAGGAACTTACATTCTGAGAGACAAATCAAAAGCTTGTTTTTGAAACTCAAAACGCTGAGCTACCCTGCTAGACGGCAAGCTTCTTGAGGACAGGAATGGCATTTATCATGGTATTCTCCGCACCTGCGCAGCTCGGTTACCCTGCACCTGTAGGCTCTGAATAAACGTCTGACGAACTGAAATGCTTCGCTACTTCGCACACGATTTCTTAATACAGGAGGACCCGAAAATCTTGTTGCAGTTTAATGCTTGACAAGCTTAAAACCGCACTAAGACTTTGGGGACAACCTGTACAAACACTCCGGCTACCGTAAAAACAAGTGAACATGCAAAAGGCTGAGGAGGTGGGCAAAACTCCTCCGTGACCTTAACCAACGTGTCTGACTATTGGAAGACACCGGCGAGTTCGGTCAAGATGACACTGGCACCACAGCACGTGACCTGGACTGTTCTTACGGAAGGATTCAGCCCTCAGCATCTCCTCCGTTAAAAACTACCTGGCGCCCAGAGCCTGGCTTCAGGTTACACAGGTAGGGGCTGGAAACGAACCTAAAATCAAGACTTGGTGCAGCGCATCATTACAGGAGGAGAGAAATCACCTTGCGCAGGCCGGGGGATGGGGGGAGGGAGCCTCCCGCGAGACCACGGCCCCCAAGCCGGCCTCTGCAGCGGAAGTGAGCAGGTACTCTCAGCTGACCCGGCCCCCGCCGGAAGTACATGGCCCCTCTGCCAAGGAGCCCCAGGCGCCCCCCCACCGGAAGTAGTCGGCCCCCCAATCAGTCAGCCCTCAGCCAGACAAACTCAGGTTCAACAATGGGGAAGGGAGCGGGAGAGGAGGCGGCATCCGCGAAGCTCCTCCGGCGTCTCGGAGCCGGCCACCCCGAGGGTCGTCCGCGCTTACTGACCTGCAGGCGGCGGGCAGGGAGAGGCCACAGGCCTCCTCGGAGCCCCCCGCACTGAGCACAACTTCCTCAGTCCCTTTCAGACGCGCTAGCTCTCCGTTCGGGACCGCTTCACGTCTCGACGCACGGATCCCTCCGCCGAATCACTCCTCCAACTCCCGCCACGGACGCCCCCTCCCCGCTCCGCGCCTTGGATAGCTCATCATATCCTAAAGTCCCTGATTCGGTAGGGAACACTAGCGGTTTTACGGTGTGGCCCAAGGCCAAGAGGGACTTCCTGGGCAGTGTTCCTCGAAAAACTCCCGGGATTATTTTTCTCGGTCGCGGAATGAACCTACGTGCGTACGAATGAGACGAGTTTTCGAAGAGCTTGCTGGGAAATGTAGTTTATTTACTCTCCCGTGCAGACTTCCAGAGGCCTAACCGAAGCGCGTCCGTGTCGAAAGGAGAACGGGATGGGGGAGGGGAAGCGCTTCGGCCTTAATTTGCAGTCTTTTTTCACTCCGGTCCCCCTTCGGAACTTGGGAGTCCCTGGTCTTCTGGCCGGCCCCGGGCCCACGCCAGTCCGCCACGCCCCCCAGCCCATGCCGGCCCCCAAGCCAATCAATTCCCCTTTGCCAACTCTTTCCCCGCCCCTTTCTTTCTCGGCTACCTGGCCTCGGGGCGGCTTGCCCTTCCCCCGCGCGCGCGCGCGTGCGCGCGTGAGGGTGCTTTCCTGTATCCGCGGGGCAAGAGGTGGGTACTTGGGTGGCGGCGCGGGAGGGCCAGCTGGGCTTTGGGACACACGCGCGCGCCGGTTCGCGAGGGGAAGGGGGAGGGGAGAGGCGGAGGAGGGAAAGCGCGCGCGCGCGGACATTCCTGGGCGGCGGCGGCGCGCGGCGCGGAGCCGGGCGGGGCGGGAGCGCGCGCGGGGGGCCGGCCCGAGGCGGGCGGGGGCGCGCGGAGGCGGCGGCGGGGAGTTAGTTAGTTGTTGTGAGTGTCAGCGGCGGCGGCGGCGGCTCTAGCGGAGGCGCCGGGACGGACCGGGCCGGGACCGCCCGCGCGTCCCCCGTCCCCTCCCAGCCCCGGACGGACGGCGGACTGCGGACGCACGGCGAGGTGGTCGTGGCTGCGGCGCCCGCCGCTCTCAGGTGAGGCGTACGGCTCGGGCGGAGCCCCCTCCCCGCGGGCAGAGACCCCTCCCCGCGGGACCAGCCCCCAGCGCCCGGCCCGGGCAGCGGGGGGCCGCGGGCTCCGACTGAGGTGCCCAAGGGGGGAGGGATGCTCGCGGCGGCGCGAGGTGCCGGGGCAAGCGGGGATCCCCCCGACCCGCCCCGGGGGCGCCTCTGTCCTCGGGGCCTGGACTGGGTCCCTCTCGGGAGTTTGCCCCCTTCCCCCCTTTTCCCTCCGGTCGGTCCGGAGTGCGGGGCAGGGGCTCCTTGCTCTCCCTTCTGTCCCCGGGCGGGCGGGGAGCTGGAGGGGTGGGGGGGTCTGCCCTAGGGGCCAAGTTCAAAGCTTTGAGCCCGGACTCGGTCCTCCGCGACTGCTGTGGACCTCTGCAGAGAGAAGGGGCCGGGAGTGGGAGCGTGAGCATGAGTGTGTGCGTGCCTGTGTGTATCTGCTTGTGAGTGTGTGTATGCGCTGGGGAGTGCGCTTGCCCTTTTAGACGTTACCCTGTTGCAGTCGCTGGTGGTGAGAGTCACCCTCGGGACCTTAAGGGATGGGGCTGGTGGAAGCCTGGGATGGGGAGGGCGGTGATGAGTTAAAGGAAAACTATGATTTCATCGCTCTTGGCCTTGGGATAGAAAAGCTAGCACACTTCTCTTTGGCCTCTGTTAGTTAAATGAGCTATGATTTTTAAAAAATGAGCTTAAATGTAGCATGATTCTATCAGACGTGCTTCTGGACCCCCGGGGGCATTCTACGCGTCATTTGACAAAGAACAGCAAAGGAAGCGGTGGCCAGGGTGAGGCTCTCCAGCCAATTTTTAGCGGAAGGTTGGCTCCGTGTGGAGCGCTTCACCTAAACTCGGCGCTGGCTCGAAGAACCGAGCTCAGGAACTGGTTACTGATGGTGCGGCCCACGCAGAGGCTCTTCGTCTTGGGTGTGTGTCTTGGACCCACTTTGGCAGCCTTTTGGGTCCCGTTCTTCTAAATGCTTTGATACAGAGGATTGCAGAGGAAACCAATTATAGCAAAATATAGGCATCAAAATATTTTTTTAAAAAAGTTCAAGGACCCAGGTGAAGAGCCCCTTTTTCCTCATCAGTGAAGAGTAGTGTGTATAGTAGGGGCAAAAAACTCATTGCTCTCTGGGCTCGAAATGTTCTTAGCCATTATCCGAAGAAGTAAAACTTTCCATGAGTGATTCTAGCTTGGCAAATAATATCCAGGCTTCTTTAGGCATCTCCATTCACTGACTTTCTGAAGTGTGTGCTCACTTTTCTTTAGTGACTCACTTTTTTAAGAATCAGGAAGGCAGGCAGAATGAGTTTTCTTGGCTAGAATTTTCTGGGGATTGGAGCTGTCTAGCCTCAGCCCTAGAGACCCTGCTAGCGCTGACCAGTTCTAGCTGTTTCCAACACACAAACTCCTCGGGGGAAAAAATGCGCCTCAGTCTTCCACGATTGTCCAGGGGGGGAAATGCTTTAGGATTTATTTTGGGAACACAGCTTCGCTGATAATTTCTGGAAAAACAAGAACTTTATCAAATTGTTGTCACTAATACGGCTTTTGATGTATAATGAATGGTTGTGGTGGGGATGGTTTTGTTCTCTTGGGGGAAAGGGGCTGCAGTCACAAATGGGATGTTTATCTTACTTCAGTAGTTGTCTCGTGATGGTGTCCTGAATCTTCCATAATTTTGTCTCCCCTTCATATTAATGTGGCTTTAAAATTCGTTTTCAAGAATCTCTCTTCATAGCTGTTTCCTGACAATCACATTTTTAAAAAATTTGTTCCTGGAAAGTATTTTATTTATGCTCATGTAAACATTTCTTTTGCACATTTATGCTAATGTAAATATTTAAGTCTCTGAGCTTCAAAACTTTATTTGCTTATTTGCATATGTGTTTTTCAACATTTAACAACACCTACCACATTTGCCAAATGAGCAGAGGCCATAAATTTGTGTTTTGGCATATTTCATATAATTGGCTCTTCTCAATTGCTCAATGGTGAAACATCATGAGATTAGCATTTGTTTTATGAGAGCGATTTGTTGTTTTTAACGGTATGATGTTGTGCTATTTAAATAGAACAGGTGCTGTGTTATAGCTGATTGTGTTGCAACCTGCCAAATCACTTTTTTTTTTGTTTCATTGATTGTGTAAATCAGTAGGGACTCTGTTGTGGCCTCTGGTGCAGATTTTGGATCATAAAATCAATGACTGCTTCAGAGCCTTCAAATCAACAGACACATTTATTAAGTGCCTGATATGTGCAGAGGGGGATGCAGAGATGAATAAGGCAATATCTGTCCCGGAAGGAAGCAGAGGTGTTAAATCTAATGAGAAATAAAACAATCGCATAGGAAAGTTACAAAGTGCTGGCACATAACTCTTCCACCTTGTGTGGAGGAGATCAGGGAACCCTCCGTGAAGGTGGAGGAAGGAGGAGGAAGGACCTTCCATGGGGGGGCAGGGAGGCCCCTAGATCTTATACAGAGGAAGGCTCCAATAAGGATTGCAGCTGGGAAGAACCGGATGAGCTTCAGGCGAGGTCAGGATCGGCAGGAGGCGTCTTTGCTTTGCTCTGGCCCTTTTGCAGCTTTAAGGTGCCTTACTTCTTGGGGCTCCCCTGTTCTTGGTTACCCTTGGTAGCTAGTGCTCGGCTCCCTCTTCACTTCCATCTTGAAGGCTCTTTAGATTTCCTCCAAGGCCCAACCACTGCCTCCTGGAGCTGGTAGGGATCCCCCACATTGTTAAAGCTGTCTTCCTCTTCTAATGATCTGTTATATAGTTCTATGTTCTATCCCCTACCCCTCATTAGAATGGAAGCTCCTTGAAGGGAGTGACTGGTTTCATTTTGTGTCTTCCTGGTTGGCACAGTGACTTACACAAAGTGTAGGTAGCAGCCAGGTGATGTAGTGGTCAGGAAGGCCCAGTTCAAATCCTGCCTCAGGCATTTACCAGCTGCGTGACTCTAGGCAAGACACTTAACCTTCCTGTGCCTCAGTTTCCTCATCTGTAAAATGGGGCTGATAATAGCATCTACCTCCCAGGGTGGTTGTGAGGGTTAAATGAGTTAACATGTGAAGTACTTTGCAAACCTTAAAGTGCTATGTAAATGCTGGCTATAAGAATGATAGTTATTCTTGTTATTGTAGTTATTATAGAATTTAAGATATTCAGTTAGACTTTTCCTTAGCTAGAAATTCTGGGCCTTTCTCTAAGAACACTGAATTTTTGAGGACTTAGAAGTGAGAAAAAAGTGTCATTTGAGAAAAGTGTACTATTGCTTTATCTATAAACATTTGAGGGCCACTATACTGCCTTGTGGTCTAGGATAGGAAAAGTTATTTAGGCTAGGTTTAAGGAAAGACTTCCTACCAACTAGAGCTCCCTGTTTGGGGGAATGGGGAATGCTGACTGTGAAGTATGAAAGTTATCAATAAGAGAAAAATGAGTTACAGCTTATTATCCAGAAGTGGAATGGTTGACCTCTGGAGGCCTTCCATCAAGGCTTGGCCTTGTAAGGAATACCATAAAGGAGGTGCCTCATTAAGTAGATGCTTGTCCAACTTAGATGGTTTCTGAGGCTCCTTCTAGAACCAATGTGGTAATGACAAATCATAGTCTATAGACAGCAGGTGTGAGAAAGGTTCATTGGCGTGGGGAGGAAAGGGCTGATGGGAGATGCCATCAAGGAGGAGAGGTCAGACGTTGCCTTGGTACCTAGCTATGTTGTGTGCCCGTGAGTGCCCCTGACCCCAGGACTTTTGTCAGGCCTTCACACACACCGGCTCACATTAGACCTCTGTTTTTCCTCCCTGGTCCCTTAATCTGCGTCTTCGGTTGTTGTCCTCACATTGAAGAGTCATGGGGATGGTGATTATAGTGACGATCATTGGTTTTGTAAGGCAAACTTGAGCTAATTGTGGTGGTAGTTCTTGGGCTTGATTTTTTTTTAAACCTTTGACTTCTTGCCACCTTTTCCCAAACAGGTGGGAAATGAAATATTGACTAAACTCTTTTTACCTGAGAGTATTGTGACTTTATCAGCTTTCACTTTTATTCTCTTTCATTCTTTTGCTGGTGGAAATTTGTTAAAATGTTTCTATCTCATGTGTCTGTGAAATACATTGTTAACCATTTGGTTTACTCCTCATAAAATGCCAAAGGTAGAAGGCTGACTAACAGTTAAGTTTGGTGACCCTTCTTTATAGATTGGAAAACCAAGCCCCAGTCGGCCTGCTGCAGTAACCCAGCTTGGGCACTTCTCCCCAGCTGTGCTGACTCCCATCCTGTGCTCTTTAGACTGCCCCCCTCCCCTCATGCCTGTTGATTAAGAAAACTACAAAATGGGTTGCTGAAACTCCACTATCCACAGTGATAACGTCATGCTTCTGCATACGTTTACTCATTTGATCCTTTCCACAGCTCTGAGTGCTGTTGTTATCCCCATTTTGCAGATGAGACTAGAAAGGTGAAGTGTCTGAGGCCAGTGTGAACTCTGGCCTCCTTGCTTCCTGGTCCTGCTCTCTATCCGTTTTGTCACCTAGCTGTCAGAAGTATTTATAACTTAAAAGACAACATTTTGAGGGATTAAGTGGAGGGAGAAGATTTTGGGTAAAGTCATCCAATGTTATATTTGAAATGCTAAAATCCCACTGCAGGAGTTTCTAAAAGAAAAGAGATAGTCAAGATAGAAAAAGAACTAGCATTTATGAAGTACCTACTATGTGCCAGAGAGTGTGCTAAGCACTTTCCAAATATTATCTCAGTTGATCTTAACAACCTGTGGGTGCTATTATTATCCTCTCTTTGTAGGTGAAGAAAGTGTGGTTAAGGGACTTGCCCAGGGTCACAAAACCAGTCTTTATCTGACACTGAATTTGAACTGCAGCTCTTCCTGACTCCAGGCTCAGCATTCCATCCACTTTTTTTTTTAAACTAGAAATTGCTAGTAAAGTTTTCTGATTTCCACTAAAG